CATGGAATAAAATTAGATAAAAAAAGATACTTAGAAAGAAATGAAATTGGAAACACAACATAACAGAAACTCTGGGATACAGGAAAGACAGCAGTAAGATGGAAGGTTATAGCTATGAGTGCCTACATAAAAAAATTCATAGAGATCACAAATTAAATAACCTAATCATATTTCTCAGGGTTGTGGCAAAAAAAAGAACAAATTGAAACCAAACCTAGGGGCTGGGGATTTAGCTCAGCGGCAAAGGCGCCTGCCTGGCAAGCGCAAGGTTGTGAGTTCGGTTCCCGGTACCGGAGAAAAACCAAAAAAAAAAAAAAAAAAAAAAAAAAAAGAAACCAGACCTAATAGTAGGAAAGAACTAATAATGAACAGAGCTGAAAATAATGAGATAGAGAATAAAGGAATAATGTATAATGAATAAAACAAAGAGTTGGTACTTCGAAAAAATAAACAGTATTGATAAACCCTTAGTCAAACCAATCAAAATAGGAGGGACTACTCAAACCAAACCAGCACAATTCAAAATAAAAAAAGTGTTACAGTGGTTTCCCGTGAAATCCAACAGATTTTGGGCAACTACTTTGAAAACCTATACTCTACTAAATCAGAGAATCTAGAAGAAATGGATAAAATTGTAGACACATACTAAGCACCAACATGAAACTAAAAAGATACATAAAACCCAATCCAGTCAGTAACAAGCAATGAGATTAAGAAAGATATAAAATACATCCCAACTAAAAGAAGTCTGAGACCAGATGGATTCTAAGCAGTTTTATTACATCTTTCAAAAACGTCAATGCTCCTCAAAGTGTTTGATGAAATAGAAGGGGAAGGAATGCTTCCAAACTCATTCTAAAAGGCCAGCGTCACCCTGATACCAAAACTAGACAAGAATACAAAAAGACACCTATGTATGGATATCTTTGGCAGATATAGACATAAAAATCTTTTTTTAAATATTTACAAACCTTGTTCAAGAACACATTAAAAACACTACACTATGATCAAGTTGACTTCTTTCTAGGGATACCAGTATGGTTAAACACACAAATCAATAAACATAATTCACTACCTAAAGAGAATTAAGTTTGAAAATCATATAGTCTTCTTAATGGACGTGAAAATTTCTTCAAAATGATTCATCATCCTGGGATGATGGGGTTTCATAATGAAATCCCAGAAGAAAATAGATATTGGAAGATTATTCCTTAATATACTGAAGTCCATATATATATGACCCACAGCTAATATCATTCTGATTACAGAAAAATTGAAAGCATTTCTTCTAAAATCAGGAATGAAAAAAGAATGTCCATTCTTATCACTCCTATTCGATAGAGATTTTGAGATTTTAGAGTACTTAGACAAGGTAAAGAAATAGGAGGGATATAAATAGGAGAATAAGAATTTAAATTATCCTTATAGGGAAATACCATGATCCAGTAATTAGAAAAACCTGAAGATCTCACCAGAAGACTTTTAGGGCTGATAAAAAATCAACAAACTAGCAGAATATACAATAATCATTAAGACAATCAGCCGCTATTCTTCACACCAGTAGTGACCTTGCTGAGAAACAAATGAGGAAAACAATTTCAGTCCAAGTAAATTTTTAAAAACACTAAGAATCTACCTAACTAAATAGATGAAGCACCTCTTTAATGAAAACTTCAAGAAACTGAAGAAATAAATAAAAGGGGTCAAAAAATTTAAGGATTTACTGTTCCTTTCAATAAACCATTAGACTGCAGCAGTACAATTATCCCAGATGTATATATATATATATATATATATATATATATATATAGAGAGAGAGAGAGAGAGAGAGAGAGGGAGGAAGAGAGACAGATATAGATGTAGATATACATAGATAGATATAGGTATATAGAGATATAGATATATTTTCCATTCCTTCTTTAAAATTAAAAAAAACACAATTAAAAAATAAAAAAATCAAAGGGGACACAAGAAGATGGAAAAATCTCCTATATAATATTTATAAATAGATAGAATTGATACTGTTAAAATGCTTCAGAAGGGCTGGGGATATAGCTCAGCGGTATAAGCGCCTGCCTGGCAAGTGCAAGGTCCTGAGTGAGATTCTCTGTACCAAAAAAAAAAAAAAAAAAAGGGAAAACTAGACATGTACTTATGGAAGGTAGAGACTAGATCCCTATTTCTTACCTCATACAAAAATAAATTTTAAATAAATCAAATACCTAGGTATATGGTGGGAAAATTTGAAACTGCTAAAAGAAAACAGGGGAAATAACTGAAGCCATAGGAATAGGTGAAGACTTCTTGAATAGGGCTCCCCTTGCACCAGAAATTACAGCAAGAATCAACAAATGGGAAAACATCAATATAAAATTTTCTGTCCACAGAAGGCAACAAACAAGGAGAAATAATTGCCAGCTATTCTTTTGACACAGAATTATGTCTAAAATATATACAAAATGCAAAATACTTGGCATTCAAAACTCAAATAGCACCATCGTTCAATGGGCAAGAGAACTGAAAATATGTTTCTCAAAATAAGAAGTACAAAAAGCCAATAAGTATATTAAAAATGGTCAATAACTTTCAAAAATGAAAATGTTCATTTTTACTTCTGAGGAGTGTTTTTTTTTTTGGTGCTGAGAATCTAACTCAGGACCTTGCGCTTGTCAGGCAGGTGCTTATTAGGCAAATATAAATCAAAGCAACACTGTGATTCCATTCTACCGAAATGAGAATGACTACCATCAAGGATATAAAAAAATGAACTAACTAACCAAATAAATAAATAAATAAATAAGTAAGTAAACACTTGCAAGGATATAGTGAAAAGGAACGCTTCTACATTTCTGGTTAGAATAGAAATTAGAACAGCAACTATGGAAACCATACAGAGGTTCCTCATAAACTAGAAATAGCACTACCATTAAATTCAAGCTTATCACCTCTTGGTATATAATCAAAGAAATTAAAATACCAGAAGGATATCTGCATGCCCATTTTAATTTTGGCTCAATATATAATAACCAAGACATGGAACCAGTCTGTGCCCATCAACAGATGAACAGACAAAGAAAATGTCTTATATATACACAGTAGGGTACCACTGTGCTGTAATAAATGGAGCCTTGTCATTTGCAGAAAACTGGATAGGTCTGGAGATTATCATGGTGAGCAAAATAAGCCAGACTCAGAAAGAAAAATATTGCATGTTCGCTGTACTATGCAGAATATTTTAAAACTAGGAAAATTAAAGGGATACTATTGTTAGACAAGAGAAGGGGAAGAACGAAGGAAAGGTTAAAGTGTGGATGATAAAGGGCATGAATGTGGAGAGGGTGGACCCAAGGAGTATTGCGGAGAATGATTAAATATGTTATATGCATGTACAAATCTGCCAAAACGAACCCATTCATCTTTATAACCAGTGGAAAAGGGACTCAAAACAAAATAATGGAAAGGCTGTTAAGTAACTAAAAATGGGGTAGAAAAGATATATAAATTTACAATAAACATCTAAAAGGGTCTTTAACATTTGTAGCTCTCTGAGAAACACAAATCAAATTTATTATGATACCATTTCACATTTACTAAGATTGCCATAATAGACAGCAAAAAACATCATAAATAGTGATGTTAAGGAAGTGAAAAATTTAAATCTCCTAGATATTGCTTATTATGATGTAAAATGATGTAGCCATTTTCAAAACAGATTGAGCTGTGGTTGAACAGCCAAGATTTTGTGTGGGTGACTAATGCATATTATTTTGGGCCAAATACAAAGGGGAATTAAAAAAAGACAAGTTGAATAATAATATTAAAATATGGCCCATATAAATGATGTTACATATAAAATGTGCATTCTGAGACTGCAGTTGGATGATTGTGAATCATGATTCTACTCAAAAAGTGTTTATTGTGCTCAATCAATATAGGCAAAAATGAGACTTTTAGAAATTTTATTACAAATAGTTATGATATACATATTTTACATTAGAGTTATCAACTTTGAGGGTGTTGTGAAATACATAAATTAATAGAATAGCTTTTGAGCAATTTAGACATGTAATTTCAGTGATGCATAGACAATAAGGCCTCCTTTTATATTCATGGATTTAGTAGGTAGTATACAAGGAAGATACATGACTGTTGTCTCCTGATTATCCCACAAAAATACAGTTCTGCTTCCTTCACAGGTTCACTGAGAAAAAGGAAGGTTAGCATTATATAAAATGTAATGAGCTATCAAGCTCAAGGAGTCTGAAAGAAGTAACTTGTAGAAAATTTATGGGTGACTAAACAGTATTTAAAGCGTTGGTGTCTCCATTTAGTTCTAATAAGATAATCAGGTATGGAACTCACAGTTCTAATAAGATAATCAGGGGGAGTGGGGAGAAGGGAAAGAGAGATAAAGAAAGAAAGAAAAAAGAAAGAAAGAAGAAAAAAGTAGAATTTTAATCCACATTTTATTATGTTACATATAAATATTTAATAGTTAATGAGTCCTTAGAGAACTGAGAATTTACTAATAATCAAACCATATTCTTCCCTGTATCTATGAGTCTTGTTGTAACAATATGAGAATAACTTGAACTAATAATATCTGTACAAAGCATAAAAATCAGAGTAACATTGTGTAAAACTGATCTTATTCCAAAGAAAAAGAGCAACAAATGTAAAATAAAAATTAAATGAGATTTTTTTCTTTTTTTTTTGTTTTTTTTCTGGTACCGGGAATCGAACTCATGACCTCGCTCTTGCTAGGCAGGTGCTGTGCTACTGAGCTAAATCCCCAGCCTTAAATGAGATTTTAGTAGAAAGTTTTACCAGGTTTGATTAAAATAACTAAAATTTTATCTGAAAATGTGATATGAATCACATATAATCTTAGTTATAAAATCATGTCCATCCTGTGCGTATTGTAATAATACCAAAATTATCATATTACCACTGTGCATAACATGAATTGCTAGGTATATTATCCAGAGGTGCCTTTCCATTTAAGCCTTGCGAATGAGCATCTTGATTACGCCCTCTCGGATCTGTCTGGTTTTCACTCCGTAGACAATAGGATTAAGCAGGGGCGGAACTAGGAGGTAAAGGTTGGACAGGAGAATGTGTACATAAGGAGCAACATTGAAGCCAAATCTGTGTATGAACGATGTAAAAAATGTGAGAATATAGAACTGAAGAAAGACGAAGATGTGGGCTGTGCACGTGTTGAATGCTTTAAAGCGTGCCTCCTTCTGCGGCAATTTAAAGACAGCCTGGAAGATAAAGGCGTAGGACAAAAAAATGAAGATTACATCAAATCCAAGAACTGAGAAAGCCACAAACAGTCCATACGCTTTATTGACTCTGATGTTTTCGGCAGCCAGCTTTACCACAGCCATGTGCTCGCAGTAAGAATGAGCGATGAACGTGGTCTGAAAATGCTTCAGGCGCAATTTAATCAGAAGCGGGCACATGATGATGATAACAGATGCCCGGATGGTCACTGCGGTGATGATGCAGATCAGTACCTTCCTAGTGAGAATAGCAGAATGCCTCAAGGGCTCACAAATAGCCACGTATCGATCAAAGGCCATGGCCAGGAGAATGCCAGACTCCATGCACTGGAAAGTATGAGTAAAATACATCTGAGTAAGGCAGGAGCCAAACCGAATCTCTCTTGACTGAAGCCAAAAGACGGCCAGCATTTTGGGGGTAATGCATAGGGTCAGGCCCAGGTCAGTAGCTGCCAGTATCGCTAAGAAGACATACATGGGCTCATGGAGACTGCGCTCAGAGTGGATGATGGTGATGAGGAGGCCATTTCCAATGGTGGCCAGGACAAAAGAGATGAAGAATGGGATCCCAATCCAGTGTTGCACGGTTTCAAGGCCTGGAATTCCAATCAGGGTGAAGACAGATGGCTGGAAGTAGGTGCCATTGGCAAATGACATGATGGGCAACGAGGGAGAATCCCTCCAAACTTCCAATCTAATCAGAAAGAATAAAACATATTAAGAGCCTCAGTTACGCGGTATAATCCTGGAAAACATTTGAGAAGATGTGATAATCTGCAGCATTCCTCTACTGCTAAACTGGGTTGTAGCCTGATTTTATTAAGGAAAAGTGACTTTTTATGTTTTAGGACTTTTAAAAAGTAAAAACTATTTTAAGTACAATTTTCCTTGTTCCTTAAATAAAGAATAGATATGTAAGCAACATAAAAATCCACCAATTGTGCCCCCAAATTATTTATGTTCCCAGTTTAAATATGTCTTTATCTTCAGTATACTATAAATTATATATTGATTTGAAGTATATCTTTTTCCATTGAATATATACAGGTAAATATTAATATTCTACTACAATATAAAATAAAATTTGCTGCTTATATTTTTTCTCCTATTCAAAATCGTACTTCTTGCAAGATATTATATTTTAAATGTAAATTATCATTCATCTTGGCCTCTCTATTTTTCTTTCCCAATTATTTGTATTACCCTTGAGATTTTTCTATAGTTTCTGACAATTGTAAAGAACAGAGAGTTATATACGTCTTACATGAAAAATTCAGCCTGTAGTTTTAAGGTATTTTTGTGCATGCATAACTTGTATAGTATGGAGGTCAACAAATATAAACCAAGTAATTTATTATCTGTATGATCATTCTTGTTTCTTACTAGAAAAAGAAATTCCCCTTGAAATGTAATTAAATGAACAAAAAATTTATAAGTTGAATAAAAAGTAATGCCTTAAGGTATTTCCAACTTACCCTATGCTTACTGACTAAAACAAAATAAGCTTGTTGAAGGGTCTGCTTTTACTTCTTTAGCATTAGTATGATTACAGCTATTTAATAGCTTCTTCCCTATTAAATTAACTCACCCTAAGATGAACCTAATTATATCATTCTATTATTATTAAAATTGTAAGACCTTTCTCTATTTTGGGATCATTATCAAGTAGCAAAAGGCTGTGGGATAATGTTAAATTCCTCTGCCCACCACTTGCACACACACTTTTACACCAATTACCAAGTGTCTTGGTCCCATTATTGTTAGGGGGCTACAGGCAAATCATTTAATCACCTCATCTCTACTGTGCCATCTGTCAAGTGGAGATAAACGTGAGTCATTTGTAAGAAAGTGGACACACCTTGAGACCATAATGTAGTGACATTAACAAGACACACGAACTTAAATATCACATTTTTCTTTATAAGAAACCGAAAATATACCTATAGAGCAAAGTAAAAAAGATCAATAGTAGGAAGGAGGGAGATAGAACTTTCTCAAACAAGAAAGGGATCAAGAGCTAGAGGGAAGGGGTAGCAAAGGAGAAGCAGAGAAAAAGGAACTAAAATGTACTGTGTACATGCACCTACTCCCCACCAGGAAGGTAAACATTATGCACTACAATCTCTAGTTATAAAAAAGGAAATAAAAGTGACCCATTTAGTAACAGATCTTTCACTTTGTTTTTTTCATTCTAACCTTCTCAAGGACATATACCCAAGCATTGGGAACATGCTCCATCACCACTAGGACTTTGTGTTCTAGCCACAGTAGGTGCTAAGCACCCACTTTCCATCACTCACTGTGACCAGCATAACTCAAGTGGAGCAGTTTCTGGCAAGGACCAGAGGTTTACAAAGTAAATTTTCTCTATTTAGATTTCCTGTATGTTTTAAAAGAATATTTAGAAAAAGAGCAAAATAAGGAAATGCTCTATCTACCTGTTTATCTCTTAAATAATCCAGAGCTTTAGAAAGAGTAGAGATGACTCATGTTTGTGGTGCTAGATTAAAACGAAAAAACACGCACAGTAAAACAAAACGACAATATATGAAGTAGAAAGTGTAATGAACAGATAGGAGCTTAGGAAAGAAAAACTGTTCATGAATAATATTTTGATTCAATGTGTAGTCTTCTCTATGCTGTGTAGCTCTAAAGGTGTGAAAAGTATAATTAGTTGTGCTTTAGACCTGTTGAATTTAATAAATACATTTTGCTATATTCATTTGATAGGTACATCAAGTACCAAAATATTTTTGGATTATAATAATTTGAGCAAATCTAACAAGTTTTATAACAAGTTATATGTAGAAGCAGCATATGAGTTGTTTAAAACTACTTAACATCTTTTAGTTACTAGATACCTGGTAAGATTCAATTTTATATTTGATGGAAATGAAGCACAGAGAGATCAACTATCTTAGAGATTGTGTCAGTGGTGACAGAACCAAAGCAAGGTTACACTGGATCACCAGAGGGGGTTAAACTGCTTCTGGATACACTGTATGAGTTCATTCATGCAGAGATATTTTTGTGCAGAAAGGTTAGGAATTACACTGAATTCTTAATAAGTTCCACTGAATATTAATGATAATAATCTGGGTTGAGGGTTTAGATATTTTCTTCATTATGTTATGTAAAACCTATAAGAGGTACACTATCTTGAAAAATAAATCCAACAATTTTTTCTATTCTTCAGTGAAAGTATGGAAATGCTGGAGTTTTCAATAAAACTGGTATCACTGAAATCCCATGAAGTGTATTTCCCCCAATATGAGTTTGTGTGGTATAAATATATGCTAGAGAGTAAATTTCTGACTTTTAAGAACTCACTTACAACCATGACTATGATAGTGGTTGCAATATGAAAAGAAATTTGATAGAATGAGTTAAAGGAACGCCATGTGTACAATGCTCACTCAGGGCAATAGGCTTCATCTGTACATCTATAAATTGCAAAGATAATCAGGGGGACTTTGAAGATTGCCTTATGAAGAATTTAAGTTGATAAATTGTACATTTATTCTAAGAAAGTCCAAAGCTATATTAAACATTTCTTGTTCTAAGGCATGGTTCCCATGCATACTACTATATCTGTGAAAAGAACAGGAAACCAAAATTCCCCTCATACTATTATATTCTTTACATAAGAGGTACCAGAACAGGAAAATCAAGTTGGCCTAAAAAAGATATATAGTAATCTCTAATCTCTACCATTCCCTAATGGTTTTAAACTAATTGGAAATTATAATTGTACAGGATAACACTGAAAATATAAACAAGGACAACAACTTTCATTCAGGATAAAGAAGACAATGTTAAAGGACTTCCACAAATCCCTATGCATTATCTTGTAAGAAACAACTCCCATGAAGATGAAATTTTCCCTTGCAGTCTACATAGCTTGTCCTTGGGTTTAATAATTTGAAACAAGATCTTACATCAATATTTGCCCACTTAAAAGATGCTGTACAGTTTGTGCTCAATATTGGCTATTTTATATTGAAAAAAGCCAAGTTTAGTAATGCTATGTGAAGAGAGACAAAACGGAGAGAAGCCCCTCATTCCATCAGGACAATTAATTATAAAGTGTTTCATCTCCTTCAGCACTATTGCACTGCTTTTTAGGTATTTATTCTCTCTCATAATAACCATCTCATTCTCTTTCATTATCTTCTCTATTAGAGTAAGGCAGAGACTCCCATTTGCTCATAGCATTTTGGATATCAAAATATTCCTTCTGGCTAATGCTAAAATACTCAAATCGGAACTGCAAAAAAGAATGTGTAAGTACCTTGCTTTTGGGCTACCTGAGAAGTGCCTCTCAGTTCAGCAAGCACCATGACTGTTCCAGGGTTTATAACATTTTAGACACTTCCCTTAGGAGTCCAGATATCACACTCCAGAGACAAAAAATATTTCTTGCTGTCCAAAATTATCCATCCCATCTCAGTCTTTGATTTTTTTTTTCTTCCTTCACTGAGCTGCTGTTAAAGTCAAAAACATTATCAGCAAACCCTTAGGGAATGAGCAAGCGGAGAAGCAAGCAAAGAACACAAAATGAGACATAGGTACAGGTAAAGACTTTCTGAAAAAAAAAATACCCAGTTGCACAAGAAATAATACCAAGAATCAATAAATGGGATCACATCAAATTAAAAAGTTTATGGACAAGAAAGGAAAGCATCATCAGAGTGAAGAGACAACTTACAGCATGGGAAAGACTAATATCTGGAATATATAATGAAATAAAAAAAAGACCCTCCCAATAAAAGGCTGAATCAAAAAATGGGCATCTGCAATGAATAGACACTTCTCAGATGAAGTGTATGTAAAATACATACATCAAGAAGTGTTCAACATCACTGACCTTTTGAGAAATGTAAATTAAAACAGCACTGAGATTCCATCTTATTCCAGAAAGAATGGATACCTCCAATAAATCAAGTAATACAAATGCTACAAAGAGTGTGGCAAAAAAGGAATGCTTTATTGGTGGGAGGCATCAATCAGCATGAAAATACTCCAAAAACTAAAAATAGAAATTCCATTTGACACAGCTATTTTTCTTCTTGGTACATTCCCAGAAGAGTTTAAAAGATTATAAGTGATACAAGCATACCAATGTTTATGGCAGTACGAATCATAATACATAAATATTGTAGGCAGCCTGAATATCAACCAGTAGATGAATGTATAATGAAATTGCAGTATTTATACAATGGAGTACAACTCTATCATAAAGAAGGAAGAACTTGAGTCACTGGTAGGAAAATACATGCACCATGAGACCATAATGTTAAGCAAAATAAATCAGACAAACAAGCTTTAAATAGTGAGATGGATCTTTGACATAAGGGAAGGGAATTGAAAGATGAAGGGAGGAAAGGGAGCAAAATGAAATTAAAGAAAAGGGGAATTGTGAAGTGTTGTGTATATTCACCAACTCCTTATGAGAAATATGATCATCATGTACTATAAACATGTGTAAAATATATATGTTCTTGCTTTCTTGCTTGCTTTCTTGCTTTCTTTTTTCCTCTAAGAGTTGGAGGAGGGGGAAGTGGGGGAGAAAGAGCAAGGGGTTAAAAACGAATTAGGAAATATGTACATGTACTAACTTCCTATGATCAATGTAATCTTTATGTATTATGCACACG